TCCAAATAGAGGCCCAGATGGTGATGACACAAGCCACGGAGCTCTGAGGAGCATGAAGGGCTTTCTTTTGAACACTTTTGTGGGAACTTGTGTGGTTCCTCCAATTTTAGGTTAGCTTCGAAGTGCAATAAATGGTTGTAAGGGCCAGAAGTGTGGAAGTAATAGAAGTAGGGCCCCATCTACATTGCCATATGATCCCGTTTCTGAAGGCAGATTATCTGCTGCAAACTGGATTATATGATCAGTGTGTATGGCGCCAAAGAGTTTTGATCAAGAAGTCTTCACCTGGGCTCAGCCACCAGGGGGCAGCCCTTCCTTTCCCCGCCAATGGCTTCCCATTCGGGATGGGCGGCACTCAGTAAAAGGCTCCCTTTGTGTCTGAGAGCCTTTCTTCCACACAGCCATATAACCCAGAATATCAAGGCCGAAAATCTCACAATATCTGCTTTGAGCTGGGTTATCGGAGTCCACACTGCCATATTCCAGTTCAAAGCACATAATGTGGGATTTTATTCAGCTGTGTGGAAGGAGCCTGAGGACCCATCTACACTGACTATTTATCGCAGTTCAAAGCTACAAACTCCCACAAAAGACCAGCCTTAACGTGCACCCGTGCTCTGGAATTTGTGTCAGCACCAGAGAAGGATAAAGAAGACTTTGCCAAATTAGAAACCCCCCTCCAGCTTTTAGAGCAGTGAGCCATGATAATAAAATTAGTGAAACACTAAGCTCATATAAAAGGTAAAGGTATTCCCTTGACATTAAGTCTAGTCGTGTCTGATTCTGGGGGCTGGTACTCATCTCTGTTTCTAAGCCGAAGAGCCGATGTTGTCCATAGACACCTCCAAGGTCATAGACACCATTACCTTCCTGCCAGGGCAGTACCTATTGATCTACTCACACGTTTGCATGGTTTTGAGCTGCTAGGTTGGCAGGAGCTGGAGCTGACAGCAGGAACTCACTCTACTCCTGGGATTTGAACTGCCAACCTTTTGGTCAGCAAATTCAGCCACTTAGCTGTGTAACCCACTGTACCACCGGGGGCTCCCTATACAAATCCATATATCCAAAGCTAATATATACATACTTATATATTTGGCTGGAATTATACTTAAAATTTGCCTGTTCCAACTTACAAATACAACAAGCACAAACCTACAGAACTGGGTTACATGGCAGTTCGGGCTAAGATAACTCAGTTCAAAGCAGATATTGTGGACTATCTGACTTGATAGGTGCAAAGATTACTGCAGATGCAGACTGCAGCCAGGAAATCAGAAGATGTCTACTTCTTGAGAGGAGAGCAATGGCGAATCTCGATAAAATAGTGAAGAGTAGAGACATCACACCGGCAATGAAGATCCGCATAGTCAAAGCAATGGTATTCCCCATAGTCACCTACGGATGCGAGAGCCGGACCTCAGGGAAGGCTCAGCGAAGGAAGATAGATGCTTTTGAACTGTGGTGTTGGAGGAAAATTCTGCAAGAAGATCTAACCAGTCCATACTTCGGGAAATCAAGC